TGGAGTGCGGAGAATCCTTCAGAACACACGGAAGTCCCCAACGTCATCAAAGAATCCACTCGGGAGAGAAACCTTATAGATGTTTGGAGTGTGGAAAAAGCTTTACTCAGTGTGGATCCCTCCATCAACATCAAAGAATTCACATTGGAGAAAAACTACATAAATGTCTGGAGTGTGGAAAGTGTTTCAGTCAAAGGGGAAGCCTTTATATACATCAAAGAATCCACTCGGGAGAGAAACCCCATGAATGCCCAGAGTGCGGAAAGTGTTTCATTAGAAATGGACAACTTAAATGCCATCAAAGAATCCATACAGGAGAGAGGCCTTATAACTGCCTGGAGTGTGGAAAAAGCTTTACTCAGTGTGGATCCCTCCGTCTACATCAAAGAATTCACACTGGAGGAAAACCACATAAATGTCTGGAGTGTGGAAAGAGCTTCAGTGTGAAGGGAAACCTTTATCAACATCAAAGAATCCATACAGGAGAGAAACCTTATAACTGCCTGGAGTGTGGAAAGAGCTTCAGTCATATGGGAAACCTTTATATACATCAAAGAACCCATTCGGGAGAGAGACCTTATAAATGCCTGGAGTGTGGAAAGAGCTTCAGTCATATGGGAAGCCTTTATATACATCAAAGAACCCATTCAGGAGAGAGACCTTATAAATGCCTGGAGTGTGGAAAGAGCTTCGGTGAGAGGGGAAAACTTTATACTCATCAAAGAATCCATTCAGGAGAAAAACCTTATAAATGCCTGGAATGTGGAAAGAGTTTTAGTCAGAGTGCACATGTTTATAGACATCAACGGATGCATTCAGGAGAGAAACCTTATAAATGCCTGGAGTGTGAAAAGAGCTTCAGTCTGAAGGGAAACCTTTATGCACATCAAAGAATCCATTCAGGAGAGAAACCGTATAAATGCCTGGAGTGTGAAAAGAGTTTCAATCACAGGGGAAATCTTTATACACATCAAAAAATCCATTCAGGAGAGAAACCCTATAAATGCCTGGAGTGTGGAAAGAGTTTTAGTCTGAGGGGACAACTTAATAGACATCAAAAAATCCATTCAGGAGAGAAACCTTATAACTGCCTGGAGTGTGGAAAGAGCTTCAGTCTGAATGGAAACCTTTATGCACATCAAAGAATCCATTCAGGAGAGAAACCATATAAATGCCTGGAGTGCGGGAAGAGTTTCAGTCAAAGGGAAAACGTTCATACACATCAAAGAATCCATTCAGGAGAGAAACCATATAAATGCCTGGAGTGCGGAAAGTGTTTCAGTCAAAGGGGAAGCCTTTATAGACATCGAAGAATCCATTCAGGAGAGAAACCGTATAAATGCCTGGAGTGCGGAAAGTGTTTCAGTCAA